CTATCAGGTAGCATAGGTTGCTGGCCTGTCAATCATTCAGCAGCTATTGTTTTATTTTGTATGATTGACGGGCGGTATATTGTCGATCTTAAGCTAGGTAGATTTTGTGGGCGTTAATGGAAATATGGGTGTTTAATAAAAGCACACGTAATTGTCATATGCTTGAGTTACAAAACTATAGTCGACAGATTTTTTTCACATAGCATGTTCAGAGCTGGTTTAATCATAAAGATCGCCATTTTAAAATGAAAATATATGTAAGAGTGTTAAGCAATGCGTCTTATTGTTTTCAAAATATATCTCTTTTGAATTCTTAGTCTACATACCTTGTGTTTCAAGTCAAAATTATCTGCAGAATTAACCACACGCAATGAATCTCCAAAATTAAACACACAATAACACATAATTGAGAAATAAATCGTTTATTGATAGCATGTACGTGTATGCAGTTTTAAGATTAGGAATCATGAAATCGGGGACCTTTATACGCCCTTAAAATGATTTGGATTTAAATTAAATCAAATTAAGATAAGATTAAATGATTTAATTGAATGATATGATATGATTTAAAAAAAATAATTTTCCGTAAATCATTGTGTTAGCAAAATGAATATAGAACAGCAATGTTTTGTGTTTGAGCACTAATAGCTGCTTCCTCGGCCATATGCTATCGAGGGAAAGGTTACATAATTGTAAACAAACACAAAACCCGGGATGTATGTGAAATGCGGTTAAATGCAGTTAAATACTGATTTATTTTTTGCTAACTTTTTAAAAATTTAATATAGTGTATGTTTCAACATTAAACGACGAAAAGATGTTTTGTTTACGAACGCAGGTCGTTGGTTCGCACGCAATGGATCTCCTGTAATTTCCGCCACAATAATTTAATAAGTATATCACCAACTTAACCAACATAGATAAGATGAGATAATTGAAAAGATCTGATATGATTAAAACACACATTTATCCGTGCATCGTTGAGTTTGCAAAATAGATTTAGAACGGCTATGCCTGTTAAGTGTATGACCACTGTTCACTGGATCTAGGTCCCGCGTGATCGGGGGATGACCGGTTACGTATTTATAGACCAAAAAAAAAAAAATCCGGAGACGTATTGAAACTGTATGACTCAATTATTTGGAATGAAGCCACAGAACACGTAAAAACTCATTTCAAAGTAATATTAGTATTTATTTTGGATAGGTTTATCATTTATAGCAAGTTTATTTCAGTTATGCGCATAAAGATTTCACCTTCACATGTCTAATGAAACTAATTACCTGTATAGGGGTCAACCCTAACAAAAAAATACTATAGTTAACTATAGTTTACTATAGTTAACTATAGTAAATCAAAGTTCCAAAGTTTTCACTATAGTAAATCAAAGTTCCAAAGTTTTCACTGTAGCAAATCCAAGTTCCAAAGTTTTTACTATAGTAAATCCAAGTTCCAAAGTTTTCACTATAGTAAATCAAAGTTCCAAAGTTTTTACTATTATAAATCAAAGTTCCAAAGTTTTCACTAAAGTAAATCAAAGTTCCAAAGTTTTCACTAAAGTAAATCAAAGTTCCAAAGTTTTCGCTATAGTAAATCAAAGTTCCAAAGTTTTTACTTTGGTGCTATAGTTAACTATAGTAAACTATAGTTAACTATAGTTTACTATAGTATTTTGTTTTGTTAGGGAAGCTTCTAGCTCATTTATTAAACAAGACTCGAACAAAATAACAAGTTCATGAGATCAATAATATGTTAAAGAACAACTTTTAAGCGACAGCTATATCGAAATATTTACCGCTTTTGAATTATAAAACGAAAACTTTCAAGGACCCATAATCCCTAATTGACGGGACCAGCCCCTTTTTGGTGGTGCCAAATGAAAGACCTTAAAATTTTGCACAACTTTTATTCAGCATTTCTTAACAAAATATTTTAGTTTAAAAGATACATAGGAAAATATGTGTAAATTTTCGCGCTTTTAGGCGTCCTAATTTTTGACTCCTATCTAGCGCCATCTTTAATGCAGAAATCAAAAAAAAACAAAAATAGATGTGCACAACTTCAATGCTTCTATAATTCAAATTCAGTAGTATTTCTGCTCCAGCTTTTTTAGTCTCTGAACCTTTGTCTGGAAACGAAACGCCCTAAATTTTCATTTAAAGGGAAATAATTCCAAAACGGAAAAGGACTTTTTAAATGTATGACAGCATTCTGATAGAGTTTTGTATCGTCTATAAATTCTGAAAAGTTGAGCAAAATCCGTTGAGAAATGAGCGAGATATGAGGTCTCAAAGTTGGCGTCTAGAAAGGAGAAGAAAAAAAATAATAATCTTAACCATCAGAATCAGTAGAAGGTCTTCCGTTGTGACGGAAGACCTTAATAAGAAACAGTAGAATCACTATAGGTCTTCCGTTGAAAACGGAAGACTTAATAGTAAGAAACAGTAGAATCGTTATAAGGTCTTCCGTGAAGACGGAAGACCTTAATAAACATTTTATTAAAACAATGGATCCTCTATACACCTTTTGGACTTTGACAAAATGTATAGCGTAAAGGAGTACTTATTAGAATTACCTAGTTCATGTATGCCTTTTTTACCTAGGAAAAATCTTGAGAGAGAACGAAGTACTGAATAAGAAAAATTGCGTTTGCTTTTCCAAAAGGGAAACAGATGCAAATAAAGTTCTTCTTTATTTAATCTTGGTCTAACATAACGTTTTGAATACTTGTATTAATTAAAAATGCACGCTGCATTTTATTCCATATCAAATAATAAATCAGTCTAACTGCACAATAGTATCCTTAAATTAGGTTGCAATGTAGAGAAGATCCTTAATATTTCATATCAATTTAGTTTTCTTTCTAATAATTTGAGTGTCGCAGATATGACAGGTAGCACACATACAATGACAAATTCATTGTTTACAGAATGGACAGTCATAGGTAAACTAGGGATACAGAGCAATTTGTTGAATAGCTATTGTGTTTCCAGATGCAAATAACAAAATGTCTTTGTCTTAAGAATGGACAGTTACAGGTGGATTTTGGGGGATACTAGTATTTATACAAGTATGCTATGCTTCAAAATCAATTTATAGTTTGTGTTGTTAAGGCATACATGTCTTCCTTCGATGGAGAGATTATATGACAGAATCAAAATCTAATAAACCAAAATATGCATAAAATTGGTGATATTTGGATCTGGAAACATGCAGAAGAGTAAAAGAAATATTCCAAACTTTGCCCCAGAAGTAAACTTCGACGACAGATACAGATAATCAAATTCGAATCAGACCTGGAAATGTTTTATTTGAATTCTATTTTTGAGGACATATTAACTGCAGCAGTGTACTGGTGAAATGCATATTGTGTTCTGAATGTTGAGTTAGCCATGAGCCAAATCAAATCTGGATACGTTTCATTTTTAACTATTTTCTACGGAATTGTTTACTGCAGCAGTGTAGTGTTCATGGAGCAAACTGTTTTCTTGGTGAAGGATTTAATATTAGACGTACTTCTATCTTAAAATGATAGGGAATGATTTTTCGGAAAAGTCAAATGTGAAATTGTGTCATTTGAATTCAAGTTTTGTGGAAATTGAGTGTTGAGTATTGAAATAATATACATTATTCATGGATTTATAAAGGTAAAATCAAGTGGATCATGTGCAGACATTGTGTTCTGGATTAATTTAGGTCTCCAGTTCTTTCTGTTATTTACTTGTAAATTAAAGAGTATTTAATGTATTTGTTTTTGTTTCCCTCTTGAACACATTCCAAAGTTTACCTGAAACTCTCCATTCTGTTTGTTTTAACTGTCCATTCTTTTTGAAAAAAACAGTCCATTCTTTAAAAAAATGGACAGTTTTCCAAAAAGAATGGACACTTACAGGTAACTTAATGGATAGTTTGAGGAGTTTGCTCAACATTAAGCTATAGAATGGACAACACAAACAAAAGGTTTACGTCACAATTATGTTTTAAATATTGTTCCTTATCTCCATATTTCATTAGCAACAGCTTCCTGGCCCATGCTTTTGTCCCAGGCAACCATAACAAAACGCAGATCAACACAAGCACATTCCACTAAAAATCAAAAGATATTGGCTCAACAACCTTTCTTTCAAGCTACAATTCATCCCATAGACACACCCGGTTTTGTTAAGAAATCCAGGATGAGTGATTTTTCGCTTTAGTTTCTATTTCTTATCAATATCCTATGAAAAATAGCGGTGACAGTAAAGAATCGTACGTCCAGAGAGTACATTCAGCCATTACTTTCTTCCAAATACACACAGACTCTATTTAAGCAATACAAACACCTAAGGAATGCATTCAAACATTACTTTTGTCCCTTCGTTTTTGTCCTGAACTTTATCTAAAACTACCCTCTACCACCTACCGATAATTAATTCGTCTAATTATGTGAATCGCCCTTAACCAGAGTTCTCAAAACATACCGGATGTTCCTCATTGAAGCCCAGAATTATTTCGAAGAAATTGTTTTTTCATAGTTTAAATAAATTATACAAAATAGTAAATATATAGTGTTTTGTAGTTCAGCTGTAGTGCTTATTGTTTTCGTTTCTCTATATCCTTTGTTTTTATAACTTTTTAACGTTATCCTTGTCCTAAGGAAAGGACAGGAAGTCCCAAAAAATTAACAATACCTTTGTTCGTGCCTTTGGTCATTTAACATGCTTTGAATAACTTTCCATCCGTGACCTTGTATCTATTTTTTTTTATTATATCTGACATATCTAGTAAGTTTTGTAAAATAATTTTAATACAAACTGATCAAACATTTTGGTAAAACAAAGGACAAAGTTGCAGGCGAAGAAATAGAAAGCAATTGTTTACTTGTTTAGAAAAAGATAGTTGAATGGTAATAATTAGAAAAAAAAAAGAATGGGATAAACCAATGCAGATATTTTGGTAAGATGTATAAGGACACAGATGAGAATTTTTGATATCTGCTTAATTCTGTTTTATAGGAAAGTATGCATTCAGGGACAGACATCGAATGGGTAAGAACTATTATTTTTTGTGAATATGCAACATGGTCTTTATTCATAGAATTCGATTTTGATATACATGTCAGTAAGGATAAATGGGTGGCTTAAATTCGGGGCGCTTTGCGTTCCTAGGAAATTCTCAAACAATCATTCGTTGTATTATGTATCTTTCTTTTTAATCTATTGAAAAACTAATCAGAGTAAGGCAGTTGCACTGTAAGAATTGTTAATTAATTAACAGTTCAAGAAATCTAGACCGATTTCACTTTTTTGAAATAACCAATGTTGTATTTCAAATTAAGAAAATATCTATTTTCAGTTGAATAAAAATGTTTGACTTATTCAATTACTTTCTTTCAATTTGAATTGTTTGTTTGTTTGTTTGTGTTTAACGTCCCTCTCGAAAATTTTTCACTCATATGGAGACGCCACAACTTTCCGGTGGAGGGCTACAAATTTAGACCTGTACTCGGCACTCAGAGCCATTGAGCAGTAAGGAATCTTTTTCGTGCCATCACCTACTGCGACACAGGACCTCGGTTTTGATGGTCTTATCCGAAGGACCGGTCTCCATTTCCCACAGTAGGATTCGAACCCGTGACATAAGGATCAACTCCTTACACTGCGACTTTAGAACAGACGCTCTAACCACTGCGGTATGCGGGCGACTCAATTGGAATTGAGATAGGAGTTTAAATTGATTATTTATTCAGTTCATCAAAAAACAAATAATATTAATTTCAAAAAAATTAAATGTTCGTATTCCTAATGATAATCAACATTTAAATATTTAATACAAAATTTATACTGAATTACATATATGATGAATTTTGTATTTGAATTTTTCGCAAAACAGACAATCTTCTCCGAGGGTTTCAAGGCCAGTGCAAAAACCATTTTGAAGTCAAGTAGAGAACGTAAAATATATACAACATATCACACAATAAATGGAATGAACTCAAAGAAAAAAAAGACTATTTATGACAAGATATTTTGATCCGACTTACAGACTTAAAAAAATGATATTAGTCCTCTTTTGTGCCACCCTTTCCAGGTGCCCAAGGACTCTGAATGCAGGGTCAGCAATTGTTTGTAGGTCCGGGGGGAGGGGTGTTGGTGGGGGATTGCTCCAAAAACTTTGTCCGAGAATAGTCCTTTTCTTTAATTTTAATAGATAAGTTCTGATGCTGATGCTGATTGCCCCTCCCATCTTTTTGTTCCTGAACGGCCATACATAGGCAAAGTTATACCTAATTATCTATGCTGATTTGATGCGGAAAAAAATATTCAAAATAGTAAAATATTTGAATGTTAAGAAAAGTGTTTTAATATTTTTGTCGATACACATCTTCAAAAAAGTGTTGGGATCGTTCACGGTAGCTCAGTCGGAAGAGCCCTCGCTCCGTGATCGGGAGGTCGTGAGTTGGAATCTCGGCCGCGACTGACCTAAGTCGATAAAAAATGGGATGCAACCTTCTTTCGCCATGCGTTCGGCACTTTGAAATGAAAGTTGCGGGTCCCTCGGATGAGACCTTTAAAACCGAGGTCCCGTGTCACGGCAGGCGTTGGCACTATAAAGAACCCTCACTGCTCAATGGCCCTGAGTGCCGAGTAAAGGTCAAAATTTGAAGCCCTTCACCGGTATATGGTGACGTCTCTATATGAGTGAAAAATTCTCGAATGGGACGTTAAGCAAAATACAATCAATCAATCAATCAAAAAAGTGTTGGGAGAGGTGTTAGGATTGTCTCAAGTCTCCAAATATTTTTTTTTATCTTGTTGTACTATGTAACACAGACAATATGGTCTGCATTATAGAACGTGATGTGACAGTGAATCTTGATGCATTTTGTACACATCTGTACACTAGTATTTGAAAATTTAAGCCAGTTCAGAAAAAAATAGGATGACTTTTTTTTCAAATCCTAATTGGACATAAAATATTTACATTGAAATTTTAATCTTGTGGACTGAACCAAACATATTACGGCTTTAGACGAAAAGACATTTTCATTCGATGTATGGTCTGAAAAAAAAAATATGTGTGAACTTATGCTGGAAACACACAATGGGATATTGATGATATCATGCAGAGTTAGACATGACCTTGACCCCAGATCAAAGTCACTAAGAATAAAATGATTTGACAGCATGCATTCTCTCTGAAAGAACATGTATGAATTTGTTACACATATGGGGTTTGCTGGGTGTGTCATGGCTTGACCAAGGGACATTTGGATAAGTACAAGGTCACCGTCAGAGAAACTGTACCTTCCTTTACCGTCTACTGGCAAATTACTGCAAGTTGATACCCTTTACAAGATTGCTTATACCCTTAGAATGTGGCATGACGACTCAAGGTCACTTCTTCTTGTCGGCAGCTCCAACGGAAGACATGTTCGTTGCTTTGCATCTACCTCTGCTTTAGCTATTCCTATTATCTGATAAATCGTTTTAAAAACATTTCCAAATTTAAAGGAAATCCAAAATCATTATGAATTTTTTTCCTTCAATACTATCTTCCTTTATGGTTCCTTTCGTCATTTATATTTACCTTATTTTGAGAGAATAAAACTATATGATTTCCTGTATTACATAATTCATAAGGTGGCGGAGAACAGATTATTTAGGCAATCAAAACGTTTAGCTAACGTTTTTATTAATGTTAAACTGCTTGTAAAATTTGTATTGGAATGTTTTAAATTCTCTCTACATGTAAGAATATATCCTGTTTTACTCGTTTTAAGGAATTGAAGATTTTTGGGATAAAATATGTGCAACTTACATATTGAGCCAAAATAATGACACGGACACAGTCCAAAATTTCATGAAAATTTAGCCTATTTTCACTTGTTAACTACATCAGTCGACATGAGATGCTCACTCCTCCATAGCACCTGATGCAACCTCTGATGTTTTTGGAGGTCCGTGTTTGCTCTTATCCCGATTTGTATTGTTTTAAAGGACTTTGCGCTTCCATACTGTTCCTTATCTCTATATTTCATTAGCAACATCTTTCAGGCCCATGCTTTGTCCCAGACAGCCATAACAAAACGCAGATCAACACGTGCACATCCCACTAAAGATAAAAAAATATTTGCTAAACAACCTTTCTTTCAAGCTACAATTCATCCCGTGGACACACCCGATTTTGTTAGGTAATCCAGGATGACTAATTTTTCGCTTTAGTTTCTATTTCTTATCAATATCCTATGAAAAAAAGCGGTGACAGTGAAGAATCGTACGTCCATAGAAATACATTCAGACCCTACTTTCTTCCAAATACACAGAGACACTATTTTTAGCAACACAAACACCTGAGATATGTATTCAAACAGTATTTATTCCCTTTCTTTTTGTCCTAAATTTTGTTCAAAACTATCCTCCACCACTAGCGATAATGAATTCGTCCAATTATGTGAATCGCACTTTAAAATTGTTCACCAGACATACCGGCTATATTTTATAGAAGCCCAGAATTATTTCGAAGAAACTTTTGAATTAACTATGTAAAATAGTAAATATATAGTGTTTTGTAGTTCAGCTGTAGTGCTATAGTGTTGTTTTTGTTTCTCTAGTTCAGTTGTTTTTATGACTTTTTAAATTTTTCCTTGTCCTTAGCAGAGGACAGGATGTCCCAGAAAATTAACAATTCCTTTGTTTGTGTGTTTGGTCATTTTACATGCGTTTAATAAGTTTGCATCCGTGATCTTGTATGTATTTTCTTAGATCTGACATATTTAGTTAACCTTTTAAAATAAATTCAATACAAACTGATCAGACATTTTGGTGAAAAAGGACAAAGTTGCAGAAATATAAAGCAATTGTTTACTTTGAAAAAAAAAAGTTGAATAGTAATAATAAAAAAAAAAAACAAAAACAAAAACAAAAACAAACAAACAAACAAACAAATATTTTGGTAAGATGCCTAAGGACAAGGATGAGCATTTTTAAAACTGCTAAATTCTGTTTTGTAGGGAAGAATGGCTTCAGGGACAGACATCGAATGGGTAAGATATGTTATTTTTACTGAATATGCAACATGGTCTTTATTCATAGAATTCGATTATGATATACATGTAAGTAAGGATAAATGGGTGGCTTAAAGTTAGGGCGCTTTGCTTTTTTAGAAAATTCTGTAACAATCTTTCGTTGTATTATGTTTCTGTTTTTTTTAGTCTATTGGAAAACTAATCAGAGTAAGGCAGCTGCACTTTAAGAATTGTTAATAGATTAACAGTTCAAGAAATCTAGGTCGACTTCACTTTTTTGAACTAATCAATGTTGTATTTCAAATAGTTAAGAAAATATCTATTTTCAGTAGAATACAATGACGTTTAATGCATAATAAATGTATTTAACACTTTTCGCATATGGCACAAAAAATCCGATTGCAATTCTAATCTTTAATGACTTTATAGCTTATAAATCTTAATTGTCTTTGTTTTATTTACAGACCCCAAAACGTACTACTACACCTCAGAAACGAAACAAACTGTACCGTGCAAAAAATCGAAGCGTACCGTACCGTGCACAAAGCGAATCGTACTGTACACAAAACGAACAGTTCCGTGCAAGAAGCGTACCGTACCGTGCACAAAGCGAACCGTACCGTTCATGAATAAATTTTGAAATAATTATGCAAGCCTCGCTCCGAAAGCATTCAGAATCTTGCAATGACCAAATACAGTAAGTCATTTTCTTTTATTTCTTTAGACGCAGCGCCCGTTAAAGGAAGACGGAAAATAACCCGAGAATCAAAATATTATAATTAAGTACCATGCATCTGGATTTACATCTGTTAATATAAGGAAACTACTCAAAACTAGTTACGACTTCAGAACAACTCGACAGAGTTGTGAGTCGATTCCTTATTCGCTATGCATGATCGGGTTGTGCTTGACTAACTTTTTTTTCATATTAAATGCAGCATCGTAATAATGTCGTTTACAATTTATAATAAATAAAATGAATTAAATAGCTTTTATCTACCCTATTCATGCTATTCTTGTCTCTTTGAACGTTCTCGGAAACTAAGACACATTGAAAAATGTGTAAGGATTCTGTGCTATTTTCTGAAATTAAGCCCTTAATATCATTTTTTTTTATTCATGTAAGTAATACATTTTGGAAGAAATGATTACACATTTAGCAACAACAACAAAAAATCAACACACCCACACCCACACGCACCCACCCACCCACCAACCCACCCACACCCTCACACACACACACAAACACCCCCCCCCCCCTATATATATATATATATATATATATATATATATATATATATATATATATATATATATATATATATATATATATATATATATATATATATATATATATATATATATATATATATATATATACAGGGTGTCCCAAACTATATGATACCATTTGAAATGCCTGCCACAATCGCATCCGTTGGCCAATTTCTTTGATATATGTCTCTAAAAATATTTGAATAAGTACAATTTTATAGCAACAAAATATTCCAAAAAATTCTATCACTAATGGAAAAGCAACGTAACAAATTTACATCAATTATTTGCCAAAAAAAACTGCATTTTCAATCAGAATGAATTATCAAAAGAGCTAATTACCCTCATTTTGAAATTGTTATTATCAATCTTAATCTTAGGTTACTGCTGCTAAACCCAAAAGAATTAATAAAAGATTTACCTCTGATGAAAATTTAAGAAGTTACTACACGCAGCTAGGTTAAGGACTCCCATATATACGTCAGCCTATGCAGAGGTTCGGTAAAGCTATTATGACGTCACGTTAAAACAATACAAATGAATCTCGATGAATAAATACTATATGTTCTTTTTAAAACACATTAAATACTTTCGTTTATCATAAATATTATAAAGATAAATGGATGTGCAACTTATCTTGCCATAATAGCACTTAGCGTATGTAGAATGAAAGCCTGCTTGATCTCGCTGTACTTACTGAGATGACGTCATTTCTTAGTTTGACACGCAGTTTCTCTGTACTTGAGGCGTGGATCAAGCTTTTATCGTAGCTTGTAAAAATAAAAATAAATACGAAACACGCGTAGTCGGACCAAAAGAGAGAAATATTCTGAAATATATTAATCCACATTTTATTGTCAAACTAAATTGATAATGTGTAGACTTTATATTAGGCCGTAGGGAGCACATTTGTACAGTAACATGCTAGAATGACAGGTCCAGCCCCTCGAAAATATCAAAAGTTCAACGATATCCGCTTCACAATAAATTCTGAATTTTTAAACACATGTAGCTATTATCCCTACTATTCTGAAAAGTGCTGGGAGCTGGTTGTGCATTGTTGATTTATTCCGTAATGTAACATTATTCCAATGCGAATTACATTTTTGACTGGAGTTTTTAGAAAGACGGCTAAATTTTAAACAATTCCCGAGCATGAGAAAGTTGCTCCCAGCACTTTTCGTGTTAAGGAATTTGTCTCAAAGAAAACAGAATAAATTTTATAGCGTAAAAATGCCCGTATATCGTTGAACTTTTACGATATTTGTAGTAGTACATATATGTTCTAATTTTAAAACTGTCACGTGACAAACAGCTGATGTAAGCTATGTCGTTTTGGCCGAACTCAGCAGAGACCCGATATATACAAGTGCAAACACCACATATCACATTTATCAAAACTAGTGCTTTTAAAAAAAATATTAAAATTGTATTCATTATCCCTGAATATATTAAGGCGTATATTTCATGGGCGTCCTTAACCTAGCTGCGCACTGTCTCAAGTTAAGGAATTTTGTGCAATATCTATACATTATCATTACACATATAGAACGTCATTTAGAGGGCATCATTTAAAAAAACCATAATATTTTTCATATTTATATATATATATATATATATATATATATATATATATATATATATATATATATATATATATATATATATATATATATATATATATATATATATATATATATATATATAAAGCACTAAAAATGACCAACGACACGAACAATAATTGGTCATTTTTAGTGCTTTATATAAATTTCCATCCGTGACCTTGTATCTACTTAGTAGATGAAATATATGGAGATAACGAACAGTATTCAAGCTCAAAAGTCCATTAATCAATACAAAATAGGAGCAGAGCAAACACGGACCTCCAAACATCAGAGGTGGGATCAGGTTCCATGGAGGAGTGAGCATCCCCTGCCGACCGGTCACTTAGATCCGACACTTAGGATATACAGTGTTGTTGGTTTTTAGTGCTTTATATATATATATATATATATATATATATATATATATATATATATATATATATATATATATATATATATATACATATTGATCAACCCAAAATATTATCGCCGATATAACATACTGTCAAAAATATAACATACTGTCAAAGAGTTCGATCGCCACATTTCGCATGGAATTTTCAGTTTAATACACGTAATTAAAATATGCTACATGGAATTTACACATAAAGCCCAGTTTAATTAAAAAAAAAAAAGTTTAGCCCGTGGATGCGTGTTCATCATTTTTTTTTTTTTCAGAAACACTGTACATTTCTTGTCATGGTCTCGTTATCTACACTTTCTTTTTACTATTTTTTTTTCTTTTTTTCTTTTTTTTTTTTTTGTTATTTACTCTAAAACACTTGAAAATTTCGATCAAGTTTTGTCATCACACGTGCACAGGTAAAAACTTAAGCTTTGTATATTGAACCGTATATAATCCCCTTAGTCCAGATATGCCTACATTCACATACATGTATGTCAATAGTCTACTGTCTTAAACAGTAAGTCTACAACAAAGAGCCAGTTTTAATCAGCAGATAAACAGAATTTCAGGTGCATTCAGCTTTTCTTCTAGATTTTCAATGAAAAATTTTGAGTTTGACAAGGGAAAAAAGGGGGGTAGCACTCGGCATGGGCAAATTATTTATTTTTCAAAGTTTTTGAGGACTTGCATGGGTGCATATTATTTATTTCTTAGGTAATTGAAAACGGACAATTTATTTCTAACATTTTGAATGACTATATTTATTTCGGAAATCTGTCATTGCAGTCAAAATATAGTATATACATTTATACATTGTAGATGGAATTGTAGCTGTCTTAACCGATTTCTTGATTGTAACTTTCCTTTAAGGTTTTCAATGTATAATGAAGGGATTCTGAACAATTCTGAATCATTTTAAACTACTTAAAAATGCACTACTAGATAACGATGAAAGTGATATGAACCAAATTCACATGACTGATAACATATAAGATGCTAGTCATTTTGCAGTTTGAAAGTTTCGGAAGAGTTATTTGCTCTTGATGCAAAAAAGAAAATTTTAATTTTGTTAAACAATCTGTGGGAAATGATTAATTTTATTTCATATTTTAATAAATAGAGAGTGTATGCATATTTTCATTAAGAGCTTTTTACAAAATTCAAAATACATTTTACAATATCTTAATAACACATGCATTGCACATAGACTTCAGTGTAAAATTCAAGGTGCAATTAATTTGACAATAATCAAAATTTTGTTAATTTCTTTGGTGGAGTATTTTAATTTCTCAACACCTTCAAAATTATACTATAAATACAAATATAGGACCATTCATTTATTAGATACAAAATATGGTCGTTAAACATTGAATACCTTAAAATGCGTTTTTACACATTGATGGGAAATTTATGTAAAACGGAAAGCAATCAGGCGTACAGAAAATAAAGTAGTATTTTGCACTAATTGTGTGCACTTCTACCGATTACTGTTTAGTGTAGTTTTCCTAGTAAGCCAAACACCTAATGAATCTATTCAAAAAATACAATTACTCGCAAATAAAATAAAAATATTAACTTATTCTTTATTGTTCGTTTGATCATTCCATCAAGAGACAAAAATGTTTTTGTTTGTTTGTTTGTTTTTTGTATGTTTTGTTTTGGTTTTGTTTGTTTGTTTGTTTGGTAGTTTTAATGAAGCAACAGCGACAAGAACGTAAAAAAATTGGTAGACGAAA